GGGGTGTTGTTCCATCTTCATCTATAGCAGAGGTGCAACCCCCTTTCTCTCCGTTTTCATCATCAGAAATTCCTTTCTTTGTATCTTCATTTTAATCATCATCACCACCAGAGCCAATCGCCAAAACCAGTCCTTCATCTCTCTCTAATTTCCATCACCACCACCAGCGCTGATCATCCATCGCCGATCTTGAAGTTCAATGCAACACCACTATTTGGGTTCGATAGAACACCACCGATCGCAAAGTTTGATAGAACAAGCCCTAAAGATAAGAGTGTTTGCGGTTCGGTTGCGGCCGAAAAACCTCTAATCCATCATTCGTCCGCCGGATGGGCAGATTGGAAAAAAATCAATCTGCATCCGTCTATTAAATTGACGGATGCGAATTGAACAGATTGGCGGATGAATGTGAATCGGTTTAGCAGTTCAAACTTTTACAAATTTTGAACAATACAACAACTTATCAACATTTTTTTTGGATAACAATCTAACTTAACATAACCAAAAGATTATCAAGTAAATTGTCAAATACCAATAATAAATACATATAAGAAAACCATGCATTATCAAAACTATTTCATTACTCTCTTTTTTTTTATTCAAAAACTATTTAATTTGATTTTTTTAAAAATGACAAAATTAAGCCTTATATTTTTTACACAAAAATACCAAATATCAACCCATACCATTTAATAAAAGGATTTCCAAATTGAAAACACAGCAGAATATCTAAACTCTTTTTTCAATTGAAAACATAAATAGAATATCTAAACAAATTGAAAACACAAAGTCTTACAAATTATTAGGGATGCTAGCAGTTTGGCGGTTCGGTTGCGGCCAAAGGAATCTCAAATCCGTCGTCCGCCATCCGTCCAAAGCTAGGCAGATTGAAAAAAATTAATCTGCAACTGTCTACTCGTCATCACACATCCGTCCAAAATGCGGCAGATTGATTCAGTTTGGTCGGTTTGGATGGATCGGAATATCCGCTGCTCACTCCTACCTAGAGGTCGATGAAGGTTAAGATGAAAAACAAATTCATCAATCATATTGGAATCCAGGTATTTATCTTCTAAATTCGTTTCAGAAATTTATATAAATTTGTGAAATTTGAGTTGATTTGTTCTTGACTGAAATTTGTAAAATTTGTGAATTTGTGAAACTTGTGTTTTGAATGATCATTATGAAATTGTGGACAAATACGTGTTTGGAAATTTTTTTTTTCTCAATTCTGGTGAACTTTGCAAAAATAAACAAATGGTAGTGAAGATTCTGTGTTAAAAAATGGTGAATTTTGCAGGAAAAAAAAATCAAAGATTTTTGGGAGGTTTTCCTAGCGAATGCATTCTGTTTTTTAACTGATATGGAACCAAAAATCTATTGATCTTTGATGATGTGTCATGTTTGGCACATGTTATTCTTCTTATCAAATTTGACAACAGAAATAGTATCTACTATATTTGACAAGAAGAATAGCAGGCCATTGAAGATTATTTTTTTGTCACTCTTATCAAATTATAACTTCGACAGCTCTATTAGAAATGCTCTAATCAAATCAAATCAAAACATTTCATTCTCTCTCTGCTCTCTCTTGTCCCTCCATCATCACCACCCTTCCATCGCCACCACTGCCGTTGTCCTCGATCTCCGTTCTCCGCTGCCGCCGCCGCTCCAACCACCTCTGTCGCGACTTCTTCTTTCTCTTCTTTGATCAAATCTAGCACTCCGGCGCCGACTTCATTCCGTCGCCTACTCGCTGGAGATCTCATCTAGGGTGCAAAGACCACCGCTCGATTTGGTGACAATCTCTGTCTCTCTCTCTCTCTCTCTCTCTCTCCGTTCAATTGGATCGATTTGGTTTTCACTCTCGGCTTTGTTCGATCCAAAACAGGCAGACACAGATCTGTTTCATCAGATTTGGTACAAATGTGAATGAATTTATGTGCATGCTAGTCCATTTGTGTGTTGGTAATAATGAACATAAGCAAAAGTGCCTTTTATTTTGTGTACATTGATTGAGATATGGTTATAATGAACATATATATTCTCAATTCAATGGAGAGCTTTGTTAAATGATATATATATATATATATATATCCATGGACCAGAGATTTTGAAGATATATACAACTTTGTGATGTATATATATAGAGTATCCCAGTGAGAGCTTTGTGGTGTACATATATATAAACTCTGTGATTTTAGCAGATTGAATTTCAGTATCATGTTTTTGAATCTTAGATAGTTGTATTCTCAGCCATTCTGTCCAGATCTAATCTGTACACACACAAAGACGTTTATAAGCTTGAGATCTGAAACAAACCGTCTCTCTTTCTTTCTTTCTTTTTTTTTCTTTTTTCTTTTAATAGTAGTTGTAGATCTGAGATCTGAACTCCCTCTTCTCCTCTCTTTTTTTTTTTTAATTTTAGTTGTTGATGATGCTGAGGCAGCACATAAATGTTAGTTTTGAATAAGAACAACTACTTCAACAATGCTAGCTTTCATGATGGTGGCAGTGTATCATCTTCATCATATTCATCATCTTCATCTTCATAAAGACAGAAAGTTGTGGTTGTTGATTTTCATTTTTTTTTTTTTGGGATTTGGTTTGTTGTTGTTAATGATGATCTATCTTGATTTTTTTTTTTTTTTTTTTTTTTCCTTCTTGTTGTTGGAAGAAGAAACAGATAGCAACAAATTTTTTTATAAAAAAAATTGACAGATACCATATTTGTCTAAATTTTGAACAGATAATAGGATTCGAACAAATAACAGGATAGATTTAAACAGATCGGAGCTGGGTATTGCAACAGATAGTGTTGGTTTGGCTTTGTATTTCAACAGATAGAATTTAGTTTGGCTTGGTATTTCAATAGATAGAAAAAATAAAAATAAAAATTGAACAAATAATAAAATTTGGATAGATATTTGAACCGATAAAGAGAAAAAATTGAACAAATAGTCAAAAAATTAAACAGCTAGAAAAAAATTGAACATATAGGAAAATAATTTGAACAGATAAGGAAATTTTTTGAATAGATAGTCAACAGATAAATTAAGAGATAAAATTAAAAATAAAATGTCCTTCAAAATAAATAAAAAGAATTCTTACCAAATTATTTCACAAATGGTGGATTTTTCACTAACAAAAAATATCCACCGGATTTAATATCTTATTCTTAGAATTTTGTGATTGATGCTATAAAAATTAATATTATACAAAATTTTATGATAGGGTATTTATGATATGCATTCTAAAATAAGAACTATTTGAATCATCTAAATGAGTCCCAGGATGATCAGCACAACAATGGCTGTTGTGACCTCAGCACAACAACCACTCGTAGTCTGCCATTTTGGTATAATATCAACTAGCTTTTCGTCTTTTTTTTTTAAGGTATTATTTGGATTTAATTTTTTGAATGATTTTTTTTGTCGGTTTTTTTTTTTTTTTTGTCTTTTCAATTTTTTTTTGAAAAAATTATAAATGTATATTGTACATGATTAGACAAATTAAAAAATAAAAAAAAAATACTTTTCTAATTCACTCACTATTCACATGTCAATACAAAATTTAAAATAATAATAATAATAATAAATTCTACCTACAAAAGAACTCTGCTCCCTTCTTAAATAAAAAACTCTGCTCTCCCTCCCTAGAAACTTACATTTAAAATTAAAAAAAGCTGAGTACCTAATTCGTCTCAGTTCTCACTTTTCTCTCTCTTCAGAAACATTTGTGTTTGGGTTAGATCGATCAACGGCCAAAGGGGATTGGGATTCTCTCACAATCTGGGTTCCAATCTGGCTTTCAGACCTCAGATTATTCAAATCAATTGCAAATCAGAGTTTTCACAAGTGGATTCGGATTCTCTCATGATCTGGTTTCACAGAATCTCATTCGAATTCGGTATCAGGTTTGTTGTTAATTTGTTCAAATTTTTTTTTGTTGTTGTTCTTGTTGAATTTTTATCTATAATTTTGTTGTTGATGTTCTTGTTGCTGATGCTATGATCAATGTGGATTTATTTTATTTTATGAATTTTGTTGATATTGTTTACAAATCAATCCATTTTCTGGTTGTTGGTTTTGCTGGGAGAGTTTATTGCAGTTGGGATGATGATTTCACAAGCTTTGGCATTGCTATAATTTGATAGCTCCTACAGTGTATGCCACTGGAGACCCCCTTTCTGCCCAAGCTGTCATGTTTTGACAATAGCAACCGTTATAACAGACCATTGGAGATCCTCTTTAGAGAAATATTTTCATAACAATAATAAATTTTACAAATATAAATTATAAAAAAAAGAAAATTAGGATTTGAGTTTTATAATAAAATAAATTTTTAATTTTTTTAATTTAAATCATGATATTTTAATTTATTTTCAATATAAATTATTTATCAAAATTTTAAATTAAAATTAATGAAAAAAATAATATTTTAATCACTAAATTTAATATAGATATACATAAAATGATTAAAATATAATTTTTTTTATTGATTTTAATGAATAAATTACTCATTTTCAATAAGTAAACATTTACATTAAAAGCAAATCAAAAGAGGATGGTTTAAATTGTTAAAATTAAAAATTTAAACTTTATTTTGTTGTGAGATTTTAAATTTTAAATTTATTGATTTATTATTTTTTTATATAATTTCTCTTGTCATAAATTTGTAATTAATTTTTGAAAATACCTTGCGTTTGGTAGAGTTTTCTAAATATGATTTGAGAATAGAGTTGTATTTTAAGTTTGTGAGTTTTGGAATTATGATTTGAATAAATTTGTAATTAATTTTTGAAAACTCCAGTCACACATAGGTTGCGTTTGGTAGAGTTTTCTAACACCAAGTTTGGCATTTCTCCAAAAAGTCAAAAAATTATTCAAAAAATTAAAAAGTTATCACTATTCAAAAAAAATATTAAAAAATTAATTTTCCAAGCCAAGTACAACTCAGTGATGTAAGCAACCACTGCTCTGTGCTGTGTGGGGCCGAACAAATCTGATCAGATTGGGTGCAGTTGAACACACTGCTGTTTGGCCCGTGGGGGCCCATCACGGGTTCTCTTTTGATAATCTGAACCGTCAAATGCATAGAACTCGTCGAGTACTATATGTCTGTAAAAAATCACGTTGATCGGATATCGATAAATACATGATTAGATCAGTTTTGTATAAAAAAAATGGTGTTATAATTAACGATTGAAAAAAAAACAAATCTGATCAGATAGCTATCAATATCCGATCAACATAATGTTTTAGAAGTATATAGTACTCGACGAGTTCTACATATTGAACGGTTCAGATTATCAAAATGAGACCCGTGATGGCCCCCACGGGCCAAACAAAACCGTTCAGTGCAATGCCCAAACATTGGCCAATAATTTCGTACCATCAATTCAATTGCACAGATTTTACGGCTGCCAACCCACATTTCTAATCTTTTCCTACACACTTCTTTATACAATTTTTTAATACACATTTTTTCATAAAAATTCAAAAAAGTTAACCCAAACATCTATATTTTTTTTCTCAGCTTTTTAGTCCAAAAAGACAAAAAGTGCATTTATTTAGAATACCCCAAACAACATGATTTGAGAATAGAGTTGTATTTTGAGTTTGTGAGTTTTGAAATTATGATTTGAGTGTAGAAAATTTATTTGGTGAGTGAGTTTCGAAAAGAGTTTTGAATTGAGTGGGAAATTTTTGATGTGACATATGATATTTGATATAAAAACTCACAACTCATAACCAAAAACACAACTCAAAATTCTATTAAAGCTCATAAAAAAATTTAAAAAATTCAGAAAATATTTTTTATTGAGTATATAAAAATTAACATGTGTCAATTGCAAAAAAAATAAAATAAAATAAATATTATATTGTTCCAGTCAACCGGTTACTATAAATTCTCCCGCCTTCAACCACGTTTTAAAAAATGAGTATAGAATTAATTTTTAAAAATTCTAAACAAACACTATATTCAAATCAAGCTCTGAAACTCCACCAAATAGAATTTCTCCTGAGTTGTATAACTTTTTAAATTGGGAAGTTTGAGGCTAGGGGTGAGCATGGTTCAGATTGGACCGGATTGGGATAAAATCAGGACCAATCCGTTATCTACGGTTTCTAAAAAATTGGAACCAATTCAATCCGTTTAAATCATTGAACCAATCCGAACCAATCCATTTAAATACGGATTGGATCGGTTTAGGACCACGGATTCACATAATTAAATAACAAATATATATATATATATATATATAAGACTTTAATTTTATAAAAATATAAATATAGCGCTATATTAGTTCCACAATAGCAATATATTTTTCTATAATAGTAACATACTGTTCTAAAATTTAAACAACCATAAGAAAACTGGTTTCACTATAAGTATTTAAACCATTACAAATTAAAACTAAAACCAACAAACAAAAGTAATAAAAGAAGATATTATACAGTTTTAGGTTTGAGTTTAAATTTTATATAGAATTAAGAGAATATACTATGGGGGAGGATGTATAATAAAAATATAGACTATTTGTATACTGTCCGGATTGGTTCCAATCCGGAACCGTGTGATTCAATCCGGAACCAATCCGTAGACTACGGATTTTTAATTTTTCAATTTAGAACTAAACCGCGGATTCAAAAAACCAATCCAAACTTATCGGATTGGACTGGACTGAATCGGATTACGGATTTCACGGATTACTTGCTCAGCCCTATCAGAGGTCATACGAAAAGAGCACCGGGGTGTTTGGTGTAGGTATTTTTGGCTACATTATATATTCTAATTTTGAAAAGTTGTTTTGAATTGTTTGATTAAATTTATTTTAATTCAAAAAAATTGATTTTGAGAAATTGTTCACCCTATATTTCTTATTATAAGCTTTTGTTGTCGGCATATTAATTTATGATTATACCCTTAAAAATTATTATTATTTTTTTTCTAAAAAAAAAAAAACCCAAATGGATTGAGAAATATTTATTTATTTTTTTAACGAAAAATGTGAACTAGTATTGAATAACAAAAAAATAAAAATTAATTCAATTTATAACTAATAAAGATTAATTCAATTTACAATTAACAGGATAAAAATAATATTTGTACATCGAAAAGCTATTTTACAATTTATTTACCAAACATTATGGGTGTGTTTGGTAACGTTTACGTTTTCAGTTTATATTTACAAAAATTTTATAAACTGATTTTTGTTTATTTTTAGAAAAACATAAACTACAAACGCGTTTGGTAATTGACAAAATGTTTAAAAAATTTCAAAAATATAAAAAAGAGCGAGAAATGACAAGTGGCGGCGGAAGACGGTGGTGGAAAGTGGTGACGGTGGGTGGTGGGTAGCTGGTGGTGGTGGGTGGTGGTGGTGGGTGATGGTGGCAGGTGGTGGGTGGTGGTGGGGGTGTGGAGCGGTGACGATAGCGGGTGGGGTGGGGTGGGTGATGATGGCAGGTGGTGGGTGGTAGTGCGCTGGTGGTGGCAGTGGTGGTGACGAGTGGTGTGGTAGCGGATGGCGGGTGGTGGCGGGTGGTGATGGTGGGTGGGTGGGTGACTGTGGCGGGTGGTAGCGAATGGGTGGTGGTGGCGAGTGGTGGTGGGTGGCGGTGGCAGGTGGTGGCGGGTAGGTGGTGGCGGTGGGTGGGTGGGTACAGTGGCGGTTGGTAGCGAGTGGGTGTGGGTGGTGGTGGTGGTAGTGGCAGGTGTGCAGGTGGGTGATGGTGGTGGTGGTGGTGGTGGTGGTGGCGGGTGGTGGCAGGGGTGGGTGGCAGGTGGGTGTGGTGGCAGGTGGGGTGGTAAGTGGTGGTGGCAAGTAGGTGGCGGGCAGTGGATGGTAGTGGTGGGTGGTGGCAGGTGGATGGTAGGCAGGTTGGTGGGTGTGTGGTGGCGGCGGGTGGTGGCGAGGGGGGCGATGGTGGCGAGTGAGTGGTGGTGGCAGGTGGTGGTGGTAGGGGGGTGAGAGGTGGGTGGTGATGGTGGCGGGAGACGATGGTGGAAAATGGTGGCGGGTGGTGGCTAGTGTTGGGGGGTAAAAAAAAAAAAAATGAAAACTCAAAATAGAAACATATTTTTTGGTCAAATTTATAAACTGAGACCACTAATTTATAAATCAAAAATTTTACCAAACAAATTTTTATTTGAATTTTTTAAATATATAATCCAATTCCTGCACCACAAAAATTAATAACTTGTGATTAAAATTAAAATTTATAATATGTTTTTAACAGTTGCATCAAAACAGTCACATTGTGGTTGTTTACAAGTCTTGAGAGAGAAAGAGAGATGGCGACGACGACGAAGAAGAGTATTACGAAGCATTTCTTACACAAGCATACATTGGAGTTGAATGATAAGATGGAGGAGGAGGAGTATGAAGTTAAGTGCTGTGTGTGCAAACAAGGAATCTCGGATTGGCACCACTATCGTTGCAGTGTAGGCTGCCATAGAACACGCATCCACGAGTATCCCTGCTATGAAATTCCATTCCAAAGAGATCACCATCCCCTTCACCCTCACCACTCCCCCCTTTTCGCTTCTTCTGGATCATTCTATCCAGGCAGTTGTGATTTTTGTGGCAAATCTTGTCGAAGAAAATTCAGTTTCAGAAGCAGAAGTGGCAAACAAATCACTCTCATCCCTTGATATTGTGCGATATGGTTAAGAGTTTTGATTATACATGTTGCTGCTGTGGCTTAAGTATGGATGGAGATTGTGTCTATGTATGCCTCCGGTGCAAGGGTTTGTTCCACAATTCATGCGCCGAGTTGCCCTTGGAAATCAAGCACCCATTTCACTCCTCGCATCCTCTCATCCTCTCTCAGTCTCAGCCAAGGTCGTTGGGGATTTTATCTTCCTGCAGCGTCTGTCGCCACAGCCTTCACCGTTTAAACTACCTCTGCTCTCAGTGTAAGTTTGTGGTAGACGTTAATTGTGCTCGTTTGAAACCGGAACACGGTCAGATTCAACAATTCAGCCACCCTCATCCCTTGATTTTCTGCAACAATAAAGAAAATTTTCCTTATACCTGCTATGCGTGCTGCCTTCCCTTGGCAGATTCCATCTATTTTTGTCCAGAATGCCCTGCCCTACTCCACAAATCGTGTGCTGATTTGCCTCAGGAAATCGAGCACCTCCTTCACCCTCACTATACTCTCACCCTCAAAAATGATTGGCATGCCAAAGATGGAATTCACTACTGTGAGGCATGTTTACACTGTTGTATTGGTTTTTTCTACGAATGTTGCCAGTGCAAATGGTATATTGACGTTAGATGTGCCTGTTTGCCAGAGTCCACTATTTTGAGGTGGTCTAAAATTCACCACCACCCTCTTGCTTTGATCTTCAGCACTGAAAATTTTCGTCGAGGTTGCAATATCTGCAAAAAGTGCTTCTCTACCCCTTTCTTCCGTTGTTTGTTGTGCAACTTGAACCTACATGTCCATTGTATTTCAGGATTACCACCTACCCTCAAATACCATAATCATGTCCATTCCCTTACCTTTACCAATTGTCCAATTAAAGATCGTCCAGATGAAGATGACAATGCAGAGTTTTACTGTGATGCTTGTGAAAAAAGAAGGGATCTAGCGCAACCAACTTATTATTGTAAGGTTGGATGCCAGTTCGTTGCTCATCCTCATTGCGTGGTATCTGAGGTAATGCCTAAATTCAGTCTTTACATATCAAATTAAAATTGATCAAAACAACTCATAAAGAGAGATTCAATGTCCTACTTACACAATTGGGTTGACCAAAGGGATTGGTCCTTTGAGATAGGATCTCATGAATAGATTGGCCCTTAATAAGATGTTGTGGCTTTCTTTTGTTTTAAAACAGAGATTTTTAGCTATTGAAATTCAAGTCAGATATTACAAGATGAATTGTAAAAATCAATAAAGAACAAATAAAAAAGTAGGACTATATTATCAATTTAAATGATCATCATATTGGAAGCCATTCTGAACGAGAGAAGCTTCCATCCAACATTTGGGAGGGGATGGGGGATACAGTCATCCATTTCATAGATGTTAGTAACTCCCAAATTCGCCACAGTATGAGCCGTCTCATTTCTAGAGTGGCTCACAAACAATGCAACTTTACAGAAGGTGTAGCTCTCAATTCTAGGTTACATAAGTTGTTGCTAGTGTGAACAGTGTTGCAAGAAAACAATGCCCCACTAGCAATTTTCATTTGTATTGTTTTGAAATATGGTAGACGTTCGTTTCAAAATGACAAATTTATTAGCAATCCCATTATTTTTGGATTAATTACACTTGACACTCGTGCAGTTTTGTTAGCCTTATTAGTGGTTGATGAACGGAATTGTAATCTTGCAACTTGACTTAAAGTGTAGAGCGTTGGCTTAAGGTCTCAAGTTTGAAACCTCTTAGATGCAAATAATTTCTTGGGACCAGTCTATATACACGGCATAGCCTTGGCTTTAATTAGGACCCCCGCAAGTGGCCAGTGGGAATGGTCTCCTAGATTAGTCAGTCCAATGAGCCAGATACCGAGTTATCAAAAAAAAAAAAAAAAAGTGTAGAGCGTTGATTGTCAAAATTAAAAGTGAAGGGTCAAAGTGAGATTAAAGTGAAAGTGCAGGACTCCTAAGTGTAATTAACCCATTATTTTTTCGTTAAAAGTTATCTTTATAAGAAAAAAATTAAAATAATAACACTACAAGAAAAAACACTTTTGGCGACCACCTTTTTTTTTTTTGGTCACAAATAGTCCACTTTCTGCGACCAAAATTTAACTTTTGGCGACCACAATTTTTTGGTCACGGAAAATCACTTTTTGGCGACCAAAAAAAAAGTTGGTAGCGAAAAGTATACCCATTGGCGACCAAAGGCTTTTTTGGTCGCTGAAGATCACCTTTTGGCGACCAAAAAAAAAAGTTGGCCACAGAAAGTATACCCTTTGGCGACCAAAAAAAGAGTTGGTCACGGAAAGTATACTATTGGCGACCAAAGGCTTTTTTTCGTCGCGGAAGATTACCCTTTGGCGACCAAAAAAAAAAAGTTGGTCGCGGAAAGTACACTATTGGCGACCAAAGGCTTTTTTTGGTCGCGGAAGATTACCCTTTGGCGGCCAAAGGCTTTTTTGGTCGCAGAAGATCACCTTTTGGCGACGAAAAAAAAAAGTTGGTTGCGGAAAGTATACTATTGGCGACCAAAGGCTTTTTTGGTCGCGGAAGATTACCCTTTGGCGACCAAAAAAAAAAAGTTGGTCGCAGAAAGTTATGGCGGGATAAATTTTTAAAAAAATGATACTACTATAATTACATGCTATTTTTCTGTTTAGGCATTAAAAGTTTTATAAAATAATATATGACTGAATTTTTATGGGTTATATATATTTTTTGCGGAATATGAACAAGAAGCATGGTGATGGCAGAGGGGATTGGGTGCATGGTGACTCCTTGATCATGAGTTCAAGTCTCAGGTAGCACAAAAGAATTATTTTTTTTGGGTCAAGACGTTGACTTTTGGCGACCAACTTATCTTTGGTCGCTAAAAGTTTACTTTTGGCTAATATGAATTGAACTTTCCGCGACCAAAAAAGTTGGTCGCAAATGGTCACTTTTAGCGACCAAAGGCTTTTTTGGTCGCAGAAAACTATCTGTGATGAGGCTTTAGCGACCAATTCGCGACCAACATATTTTGGTCGCGAAAAGGTTTTAGCGACCAAATATGGTACTTTTTGCGACCAAAATGTTGGTCACGGAAAGTGTTTTTTCTTGTAGTGTAAACTAAAATCTAGATAGAGTGAAGGTTTGGATTGAAAAAATGTGAAACAAATGGTCATAATCATAGAACTTTATTATTGAACGATTAATTTGAAGAAAAGTACACCATAATATATTGGATGTCCAATTAAGAAGTTTACCCCTATTGTATCATATTTTAAAGCATGTGACGTACCATGTTCCCATTCCTCGTATTAGAACAATCTACGTTGTAAGTAACATAGAGTGTGAAGTAGTACACTGTTTGGACAATTTGACTAGACAAAATGTGTTATGTGACTAGGTTTGATTGCTCCAATGCAGAAGATTGAAGATGTTTAGAGAAAATGTGACGCATGCTTTTGAAATGAAAAATGCAACTTTGTTGTTCAAAAGGTGTCGTAAACCATAGCTTATGGAAGAAGGTTATTTGCAGCAAGTTGGGGTTGAGTGTTAATAATAGTTGGCTTGTGGAAATGGAAATGGAAATTTTAAATAAAATTTCTAAGGTGTGGAAAGGAATTGCAATGAATGGTGTACTTAAGTTAGAAAGTATTTTCAAAGGCGGTTGGTAATCAAGGTAGGAAATGGCCAAAATATTACTCTGTGGAATAATCTATGGATTGGAGATAACTTTACAGGTTGAGTTTGAAAGGCTGTATTTCTTATCATCAACTTTGAAGGATGATTTTGTATCTGACTTCTTTGTTAACAACCAGTGGTGTTTGCAGGAGAGAAGAGACAACAGAAGGACAATTTGCTCCTTAAACTTCATGAATATGTGCTTAGCATGGACAATTTGCTCCAATTTCATGTAAAATTGCATGAACATATAGCATTAGTCCATGACGCTCTAGTTTGGGACACATGTCGCCTTTGAGTATGTAAAGTGTTTGGAGTCAAGATCCAGTCAAAAAGTAACTCCTTATGGGCATGTTTGATTGGATGGATTAGACCATGGGATTAGGATTATTAATCCGTGGACCAAACTATCCTATGTTTGTTTTAATATTTTGGTTTAGGATTATTAATCCAATGGATAATTAATCCAACAAATTTGTAGGATTATTAGTAATAGGGTAGGGGTGAGATTATTAATCCAATAGATATTAATCCAATTGGATAGTGAATACTACACTAATTTTATAGGATTATTAATACTTCACTAATAGTCTTGTGAATCAAACATGACCTATATGTAGTTTCTATGGGACTTGTAAATGTTCAAAGTATTAAAAACTCTAGAAAAATGTTTTTGACACTTCCTGCCTTTTTCATTTGATGAATACGAGAACATTTGGGACAAAGTATTATGGACAACTTAAAAAAGTAGTTCTATTTTAATATTTAATTCCATTTTTCATTGTTTGCTTCTTTCCATTCAGTTGTTCTAACTTTCTTGTCTTGATAATTAGATCATACACATTTTAGAAGAAGAGTGGTCAAAGCATGAAAAAGTTGAGGTAAAAATTGATTCTATTTATATCTACAAATATCTTACCTCTACTTAAGCCTTCTGGTGAAAATGCCTATGTTTTTCAAGCTCTTCTTTTTTTCTTTTCTTTTTTTTTTTTATTTTTTAAAATTATGTTCCCATGTTTCTTCTCTTTGAACTTGTGCTTCTACTATTGCTTAACTCATTCAAAAACTCAATAGCTTGATCTTGTGTTTTCTGTTATTTTCAGGAGTCACTTGTGTTGACACTGAAAGATTTTTTAGATTCATTTACAGAAAATGAGAACAAAGAAGTACAAGGTCTTTTCGAAGCCTATAGAAGGGACATTCGAGGAGAAAGTGGCATCCTTCAAAAAATCTTGAACCCGAACACACTCTTGGGTTTTAAGGAGGGCTACAACTATGCACATTTAGACAAGGTTTCTGCCTGGATTGTGAAGAAGTATGTTTCTAGAGTTGAAGTCGCAATGCCTTGGGAAAAATGGGATACAACATCAAAGGTTATTAAGGATGGACACTACATGATTTTGGAGAACCAGATCTCCATCCTAAAAGCCTTGTTTTCCAAGTACACAGATTTCAGTATTGGATCAAGACTTAGTACAAAGGCAACGATGTTATTCATAATGACAGAATGTGAAACCGTACACAGCATGTGCAACACTAAGGTCATGGACATAACTACAAGTCTACTTTTGACTTGGTTTCACTCCTTTGCTCTTGCTCAATATGCAAACTTCAAAATTCTTTTTGTCACTGATCATTTGACAAAACTGGTGCGTGCTCATGTTGGTTTCCAAGTTGGTCATGATGTTCTTGTAGACCTTAACCTTGCCGAATACATTGCCCAGATCACAAAGCAACACGAGGGCATAGATTCTAAAGATATTGCCATCATTGAAGAAGATGAAGAAAGCGTAGATTCTGAAGAACTCACCATTATTGAAGAAGACGAAGAAATTGTAGATTCTAAAGAACTCGCCATTATTGAAGAAGATAAAGAAACGGTAGATTCTGAAGAGCTCGCCATTATTGAAGATAAAGAAACTCATTATCTCAGGGAGAAGGTAGATTCTATGCAACTAACCATTATCAAACTGGATGAAGCTATTAAAGATCTTGAAAAGAAGAAACAAGCACTTTTGAAGAAACGCGAGGATTGGTGCATAAGAAAGGAGTGCTTGACCCAAACCCCGCCTAGCATAGCCAACCATAAAGGCGTAGGTCCAGTCCTAATCCGGTCCCACATCGGCTCGGTCCATGCTTGTGGCCCAAGCCCGGCCTAGCTCGGCACAACAACGAAGCCCGTGTAGGTTCAGCTCGGCCCAAGATTGTGGTCTGCATTAGTTTAGCTTGGCCCAACCATGTGGCCTGTGTTGATTTAGCTCTGCACATTTGTTCGGTACAGATTCCTCTCTAAGCTACAATGGTCCATTTTGAGAATAGGTTATGTATCAGAAAAAATGTCTAAAATTTATATATTTAGGATGTAGATTTAAATTTGGTATAATGTGGACTATATTCGAGTCAATGCCTCTCTAGTTCAATACCCAACTGGACAGAATCCATTCCCTTTAAAATTCTACACATTTTTCTGAATATTATATTTTTTTTGGATAGGTGTATACATGTATATATTGTTCAAGTCAACATCAAAGAGGAGGGAGATAGAAAGAGAATTGAATACAAGTATTTTAGCCATCATCACAACTTGAACCTCTGTCAAGTGCAGCAAGGCCAAACATTCCATTGCTCAGGCTGTGAAATTTCATGCACTTCAGATTATATGTCTGCTGGCAATGCAACTTCTTCCTCCATGACCACTGTGGCAATGCCAATCGCTTCATAAAATACCCATCTCACCCTCTCCACCCTCTCATCCTCCTCCCATCTCCTACCTACTGCAGCGGAACCTTACTCTGCAATGCCTGTGGCCCACAGGCAAGTCCTTCTCCTACTCTTGCACGATGTGTGAGGTTGATCTCCATGTCCACTGTGCTTTCTCACCTCCAACGGTGAACCACAAATCACACCCACACACACTAAGCCTCGTTCACACCATTCCAGAGAAAGAAGCATTGCGTGATCATGATTGATATGTAACAATGTATTGCAGAGCAAGCAATGAGGTTATTGTTGTGTTAAGTGTGATGATTTTCATATGCATACATTTTGTGCTACGAATGAGGTGAAGCCGGGATTGTATCTGGATGGCGACGATGATGGTGGCTTGGATTCTGGGACCGTAGTCAGGGCCTTTTCAGAGTGGTTGTGAGGATCAATTGGAGATTCAATTGTCGGAAGAGGCGGTTGTGGAATTGTTTAAGATTCAGCTTCAGATGCAGATGGCTGAGCAACTTGCAGAGATGTTGGCATCACCAAATCACAGTTCCCCTACTTGAGGATGCAATATCAATGGCAAAAAAGTCTTGAATCCACTGATTTGCATTGTAATTGAAGTTAAGGATGGGTAATTAAGTTAGTAAGCCATGTCAAGCTCATGTTCGCTGATTTTCATGTGATTCAATTGGTATTCGGTTGATGATATTATTACGCCAATGATGTTTATCTTGTATGGTTGTAACTATGTATTATTGAACTTATTATATAGTTAAATATGATTTGATAATGAAATGCTAAAGCAATTCAAAATTATTGAAGAGTAGGTTTTTCTAATCCACAGGGTTGACACTAGTTAGGGATTGAAGTAAGGATTTGATTGGATTTGAGATTCATCAAGTACTGCCATAACTAACATAGCTTTCCTTTGGCCTTGGCCGATGTTCTTCTCGTTCAGCCATGGTCAATTGCTTTGATCCATAGCTTTGTGCCTTTATTAAATACATTTGTTATACTTATATTTATGTATATTTGTGTTTCAAGGTGTATACCCATAAACTTTTCAACAATAAATGAGAAAGCCCTATAGCAATACCCAAATCACTGAAAGATTGATTGGAGATCCAATTATTCTATATATATATACATATATATATATATATATATTTGACATATTTTTTAATTTCCATTTCATATTTATTTCTATTTTATAGTACATATTAAAGTTTCCTTAATTTTACTGAGAAACCTGTTTCCTTTTTCTAATTTAAATATGTATGTGAAACAAAGCTGCTCTGTACTGTACTTGATTTGTTATATTTCTAAATATTGTATTTCCATAATTACATATTTACTTAGATTACTTGATTACCACTCTAGATTAGTTAGCTTGGTTTACACTCTATATACAAGTCTATAAATAGGCTATTTTGTCTAATACTTAGACATCAATATCTCAATACAATATTTTCAGAGCTCTTTTGCCCGCCGCTGTGAGCCCAAGTCAGGGTCAATGCTCCATTACAGGCCGTGCAATTTTGTTTCAAGCTAGAGTTTGTTGGCAACATTATGCACGGCTTCCATGAAGAATCATCCTTACTCCTACTAGTCAAGTAACTGTGTTCTGCTAGATCGAGTTTTTCACGCGGTGAAAACTACTTGCTTAGAGAATCCTTTTCTCTGCCACTTACGATGAAAACAACATTATTTGGATCATTGCATAATCCATTCGAGGCAGAGTAAACCCAATTTGTTGTGTTCTGGATTTCTTCTCATTGTGTTGATTGTCTAGATCATGTTTTAAGCTGTTTCATTATTTGTTGCTTGTGACTCCCAACAATGGAGTCTAGTTGGATTAGGATTTGTGGAAGGCCTATTTAGCAGAGAATTAGGTATTCATTCATAGTCATGGTGGTGATAAACCCAGATGGGACTACCTTAAGAAGAACGTTTCAAAGGGTAAAATTTGGATTCTTCTTGCATAGTCCCTTTCCTTTCTCTAAAATTTATAAAAGATTGTTGCTTCGCAAAGAGATTCTTTGAGCCTCATTGAATTGTGATCTTGTTGAATTCCATACATTCAATTATGCAAGTAGATTGCCATGTTGAAGTAGATTGTTCGCAATCTGACAAGATCACTACTCAATGAAGCTCAAATAATCTCTTCGTGAAGCGACAATCTTTTATAAATTTCAAAGAACGGGAAAACCTTTTTCTTAAGGATGCCCTATTTGGGCTTTATCATCTCCATGACTGTGTGAGCGGATCTCTATTTTTTATTTTTTAGTTGTTCTTTTTAAGCTCAAATAGGGGATGTTGAAGAATATTTATAATTATTGTACTTTCAGATTTAGATATTTTCTTAGTTAGGCTGTCTGATTACTATAGGTTAGGTTAGTTTGTTTGGTTGTCACTTTATGTAAGTCTATAAATAGACTATTTCCTGTAATAGTTTGTCATGAATTTCTATATATATTGATTTTTTTTTTCTGTATTTCTAACAGATATAGTTCTTGTAATTTGTTTGCATTACTGTTTCAATTGGGCTTTGGCTCACCCTACTTGGGAAACCATTTTCAGGTACCGGTGACATACTTCCTATAACGCCCTCGAAATCTGATGTAAATTAACCATTCATAAGATCCATAACTATAGTAGAAATGTTATATTTTCCATTCATCTGAATATGCATTACAAAATGTGTTACATGTATTACACTTTCATAAAATGTTCATCTTGAAACTATAGTATGTAACTCTAACTAATAACAACAAAATAAATGCCCTACGGGCTTACATCTTTCCAAGACTTCACTTGGTTACAACAAAAGAAGTGTGTAAGTCTCTATACAAGTAAAGCTCTCGGCTCAAATAAACACTTACCATAAAAAGAAAATCAACAAAATAGAGTCTTCAGCCCCAAGTCCTCCAAAGTTATACCTTTGGAGGTGGTATGTCACCTATACCTGGAAATGATTTCCTAAGTAGGGTGAGCCAAAGCCCAGTAGAGATATACTAACACAATATATGAAATTTAACTAAGATATATGCATTTGATAAATGTTCAACACTTAAAACCAACTACCCTCTTATTTTCAAGACCAAACAATAACGACATAAATGTTCCAAACCGTTTCTATTCATTTATTCAAATAAACTCATAGATACAATCCCTTGTTATCTAAACAAATCCCAAACAAGGCTACAACTCATTTATCAATACTTCAATAGCTATCATTCTTCAAACATTTAAATTTTCTTGCCATTTTATAGAACTCTCATCCGAGGGAATCGGCACCCATATATATATATATATATATATATATAAGATTTCGGAACTTTCACCCTGGACACTCCGGCTAACTTAATTTTCAATGGAGTCCATCCCCTATCTCCTCTCAAACAATGATACATATATAATGTATTTAAAAGTGTGTCATATACAATGACTACCAAAGTCCTCACATTCAACAATTTAATCAAATTGTCATATTCAATGGCACAATTCATATGATTAGTTCTAATTTACCTAATCCTCATGCAGTTTCTACAACAATCATAGCTATCCTCCACCGATAGCCCAAAAAAGATATTTCTAAACAGATAAACAAATCTAAACAATAGATAGTCTGTCCAGTTTTTCCATAGGTGAATGATTTATCAAATCCAATTACACCATTCATTCATACATTCTCCCAATTCCATATTTCCCAAATCAATTTCATTATTTCTACAAAATAATTATTTAACACAAATTAGGGCGATTCTCCCCCTTTTACCGAATATCAATTACAAGTCAAAATTTCATCACTTCAATCCATATAATTCCATCTTCAATACCCTACATATATTTTTATGACCCAAAATAGAAAACCCCTTTTTCAGATCTTAAGCTCAAACCCTAGTTTCATCCAAATACCTCAAAATTCCACCATTTATACAAAATGACAAATACCTAGGTTAGAAATCATACTAAGGTGTAGAATATCCCTACCTCAACGTTAGGAGAGCAAAGGAGAAGATGGAGACACTTCAAACATGCCGACACCGCGATCTATTCGGATCAACACGAAGCCCTCAAGGTGCTCTACCTTTTTAACAAAGGGACTAGGGTTGAGAGACTCCCAAATCAAGGTGTATTTATAGAGAGAGAAAGTATTTTAGAGAGAGAGAATGAGCAGGGCTGGGCTAGGGTTTTGGGTGACAGAGATACAAAAAATGATGCAAAAAAGCTCTACTACGAATTGATATATGCGACCTTTTCTCGAGCGAAGGAGTTGTCGCTCGAGCGACCAGACACAACAAATGATCTCGCTCAAGCGTGGAATGCAAAGCTTCAGGTCTACCATAGACGCACACGCTTGCTCGAGCACAAGAAGCCTCGCTCAAGCGAAGATACGAACCTTTAGATATTTCTTAGATGCACACCCTCACTCGAGCGCAAGAAACCTCGCTCGAGGGAAGGAACAAATAACGCTAGGCTCGCTCGAGCGCAAAATTCCTCGCTTGAGCGAAGAACTTCATCCTTCCCAGAAAAGCTGCGTCTGGAAGGAAACCTGAGAACTCCTAATCCTCGTTCGAGCGCAAGAAATCTCGCTGGAGCGAAGGAGCAAGTTACACAAGGTTTGCTCGAGCGCAAAAAACCTCGCTCAAGCGAAGAAGCCAAAGTCTGGGCAACAACATTCTAGACCAATTAACGACCAACCTGTTCCAAACACGCCCAACATGTTCCAAAAATCAAACACAAAGAGTTAAAGGAGAAAAACAAGACATGGATACAATACTAAGCCACGAAACCCGAGTCTAGAATACAGCAAAGGCCGGGGCAAAACTGGGATCGCTATAACCTCTCCCCCTTAGGGAATTTTGTCCCCGAAATTTTAGTACAAGTTTCAAAATCATGGTTATCCAATTCTCAAAATGATTACCATTTAACTCTCATCACCCTGACCCACCCACCTGTCATTCCATTTCTTTACAAGAGAACAAATCCACAATATATACATAGCCCACCATAATTTACCAATATGCATATTCCGAAAATTTAACTAATTTCAATACATCTTCCTTATTTCCAAAACATATTCAATGTTTATGATATATTTGCATTTCCAAAACTCAAACAACATATACAATGTTCAAACTAAACTTGCATTTCTGAAACACATTTAACATTTACAATACTTTCATAATCCAAAACATATACAATGTTTTTATAGTTCATAAATAAAACTAAAATTTTCAACACATACTCAAACATCAACAAATAGGTCCAGATATTTCTCTCGGACCTCCAATTCATGCTTCTAAGTTGCTTCCTCAACCATGTGATGTTTCCATAGTACCTTGACCAAGGGAATTGTCTTGCCTCGCAAGACTTGGTCCCGTCTATCCAAGACTCGCACCAGTCTCTCCTCATATGAGGCATCCTCGTCTACCTCTAAGTTGGTCTAATCCAACACATACGATGGATCCGGCACATACTTTCGAAGCATGCTAATATTAAACACATCATGCACCTCGGAAAGTTGTGGGGGTAACGTCAAACGATAGACAACCTTCTCAATCCGCTCAAGGATCTCAAAAGAGCCAATAAATCGAGGGGATAACTTCCCACTCTTCCCCTTTCCAAACCTCATCAAACCCTGTCTAGGTGATATTTTCAAAAAGACATGATCACCCACCTTGAATGACAAGGGTCTCCTCCTACAGTCTCGGATCTAGAGAGGGAAAGTGTCTATAGAGAGAGAGGGAGGAATTTTGGCCTTGGAGAAGTGAGAAAATGAAGTATAGATGTGTGTATATAAAGACCTGAGGCAAAATG